CCTTTAATGGGTAGGGCTGAAGAGGGGTTGTAAAGTTTTGGCTGTATGCAAGCCCTCCCTTTCCAGCTACGCCATGGCTCACACCCTTTTCCTGGGAACAAAAGGCCTGTGGGGCATATGGGGCTCGCATGGTGTGTGTGCGCACACGTGTGCCTTGCAGCCTTGTGCCTGTTCGAACGCCTCTGCATTTCAGGCTTACTCCCAAATGGCTGTGCCTGGGAGTGTCCTCCTAAACCCCTCCCTCCCGCCCAAAAAGAGGAGGGTGAGTGTGATTGTATGCATGTGTGTGTGGATGCGCGCGCAAGAGAAAAAGAGAGAGAGAGAGAGAGATTTCCTCTCTGCTGGCTGGCCAGTTCCTTCCCAGCTTTGGCTGAGCTGGCTGGGGTCACCCTCTCCTGCCTGCAAATCTCCCCCACTTAACCTCCTTTGTCTCTCTGGAGGGCAAGGCGTGGGGCTGGCCGGAGGGAGGGAGGGAAGGAGAGGTCGGTGGGTGGGTGGCCCTTTGGCTTTGGCGTGCCTGGACTCCCACAATGCAGCAGTGGAGGTGTGCGCCTGCATTCCTTCGGCAACCCTCCCCTCCGAGCTTCACGGCTGGGTGGCCAGACTGAGCCCTCTCCCTGTTTCCTTATGTTCCTAAACTTAAATGCATTGAAAAGAGAGAGAGAGAGGAAGAGAGAGAGAATAAATTGCTGTGGCTTTTTCCTGCCATTTGGCCCAAAGCAGGGGTGAGGTTTTTGTCACCTAGAGCAGGGCTTCGGGGGAATCCAGCTGAGCACTGGCGGTGAGGCCAGGGAGGGAGAGAAAATGCCATCGCTGTGTTCAGGAACAGAAACCTCTGAGGGGCCGGGCTGGGCAGGGCAGGGCCAGACTCCACCGCCGAATTAACCCAGCCTGGCCTGCACTGCACGCAGGACAGATCAGATGGATGGCATCAGCCCGAGGCCAATGGCCACCTTAGAGGCTTCACTTCTGGGCTGTGTTTATGGTACTTTGCAGGCTTAGGATGTGAAAACACACTGCTGTATAAGCTGCACTGAATGGAAAACATTAAAAAGCAGAATGCTCAGAGATGTTTCTTTTTTACTATAACTTGTCTCCACTTCTGGCCTTCCTTTTTGACTCATGCAGGGAGGGGTCGGCTACAGTACATGTTGCAATGCCAGCCTTGCAGCAACGACCAAGCCTGTTAGAGATAACAAAGCAGGAACCCTCCAGAAAGTGTGGAAGTGGCCCTCTTTTTATGGGGTTATGGAGAGGGTAGGTCGTGTTGCGAAAGAGGTCGGTCAGTCACGTACCTCTGGACTTCCAAGAGTTCTCTGGCTTCTCCAAAGGAAGATGACACAACTGAAAGGGACGCCTCCTAAGAAACCTAGAGCAATTACTGATCATGTTTAACTCCCAATGACGGCTTTACAGGTTCTGTTTATAGAGACATTTCTGTGGAAGGAGGGAATGGAGCCCTGTGTGGATGCTCAGTTGCGGGCCTTCAAAAACACATTTATTTTTCCTGGAGCTGTGCTTGCACTGGCTGCGATGGCAACAAGATTCAGGGTCAGCGTTTTAGCAACAAAGCCAGGTCACAGATTTTTCCGTAATATGACCAGCCCTCAAGCCAGTGAGAGTCTGTGCAGATATTGGACACGTGAAGCCCAGTTTGAATCCAACCTCCGTAACATCTTGAACTGTCTTTAAAATAATAATAATAGAGGTTTTGCTGGAGAAGCATTTCTCCCTTATAGAATGATGTCATTTTGATTTCTGCAACACGGGTGAGGAAAAGGATCATGCCCATTTCATATCATCTTGCCAAAAGGCTGAATGGGAGGTGGGTTCATGCCTGGGTTCATCAAACTGCTGTGCCACCATGTTGCCTGAGAGGTAGGCCTAATCCTGTCTCCTCCAATGATCTCGCCTGCTTTTCAAACAGGGTCCCCTGCTCCCCTTGTTGCCATGGCGAAAGATGTGTGTTGCTAGGAGAAGGTCCCCCTCCCTCTGTTGCTATGGCAGGAAAAAAAAAGAAGCCCAGAAGTAGAACCCCATTTGGTTACCTTGGCAACAGCCTCCATCACCCTGGCAACTGGCTCTCCATCCTTTTTCCTTCCCCACTCTTCTGTTGCTACAGTAACCATTCTTTTCCTCTTGTCTTTGGTCACAAGTTCATCTCTCTTTATCCTTCTCCAGGGCCACATTCTCTCCCTGATGACACGGTTGCCATAGGGATCGCTCCCTGGGGCCTGTCATCAACCCTCTCTCTGCCCCTGAAGGGTGGAGTTGTAAATTCCCGCCCCCCCCCAGCCCTCCACAGACAGATGGGAGATGGCAAGGGCCAGGCATCTGGGGTGGAGAGGCCTGGATGGAGGAGGAGGAGGAGGAGGAGGCGATCTCCCTGAGGGCAAGGAAGCTCTGGCAATACTAGTCATCCGCCAGGGCCAAGAAATCAGAAGGAGGCTGAGACGAGGCAGTGAAGGAACTGGAAAAAGATCATCAGGCATTCAGGCGGCGTCCCTGGAGACCAGGAACAAGGCCAGACACAGGATCGAATTCCCGATCACCATGGGTGGGTGTGAAGGCTGGACAGTGAAGAAAGCTGACATGGAAAAAAAAGTTGGTCTCTTTGGAGGAGAGACCAAAAGGTGAATCCGTGGGTTCTGGAATCAAATGTTGGAGCTGAGGCTGCCCTACTTTGGGCCCATGCTGAGAAGGCAGGATTCTCTGGAAAAGACAATCATGCTAGGAAAGGTGGGAGGCGTCAGGAAAAGAGGAAGGCTCAATAACACGAGATGGACTGGCACATGGAAAAAAAAGTTGGTCTCTTTGGAGGAGAGACCAAAAGGTGAATCCGTGGGTTCTGGAATCAAATGTTGGAGCTGAGGCTGCCCTACTTTGGGCCCATGCTGAGAAGGCAGGATTCTCTGGAAAAGACAATCATGCTAGGAAAGGTGGGAGGCGTCAGGAAAAGAGGAAGGCCCAATAACACGAGATGGACTGGTTCCCTCTGTGGCATCACGAGGGCCTCCCCCAAGCCCAAGGTTTGGGGCCTGAAATCTCAGGGCAGGGATGCGGCCGACCGGCTGCCTTTCACCAGCTGGCTCAGGAGGCCGGTCCCCTTCTCCGTGGCGTTCCTCTTCCGGCGGCTGCAGCCGAGGGCAGGATGGGAGTTCCAGAGGGGGCACCGACCTTCGCCATTCCCTTGGCAGTGCCCCAATCGAACAACAACAAGAAGAAGGAAGAACCAACCCCTCTGCTTTAATTACCAAGCCCTTCCCCAAATTGCAACACACCTTGGAGATTGTTTTGGGGGTTGAGCGCAACCCCCTCCTCCTGCCAACCTAGGCGCCTTTTCTCTGGGCCTTCTCCTTCTCTGGCCCCTGGTCGCAGCCCTTGGAGGGCCCTGTGCCATCTCTAGCTCCCTCCCGGTCCCGGAGGGACTTCCGAACCTCCAAACCTCCATCCTTCTTGCAGGGAGAGCCTTCCAGCTGCTGAGCCGGTTCAGGGTTGCCCTGTTTTGCTTTCCTGTTTTGCTCTGTTTTCTGCCTCCTTTGGGATCGGCACCGTCTCTCTCTCCCGCCCCCCCTCTTTGGAAAGGAGAGCCCCTCTTCCCCAAAAGCGCGGAGACCCTCCCAGCGCCGGCCCAGATGTGTCACTACGATTCCCATCAGCCGCGGCCGATCGCGTCAGAGGCAAAGGCTCATGGGAGTTGAAGTCCCAGAAAGCTTCTTAAAGGGGCCGCCCGCTCGCCCCTCCTGCCCCGTTTCCTTCTCTTTTTAATTTTCCCAGGACTCAACGTGGGGGGTGGGGAGAGCCCTTGCCGCCTCCGAGGGAGACCTGTCTCCGTCCTACTCCGGAGGGCAGGGCGCCCCCCCCCGCTCCTGAAAACAAACAACCCATCAAATAGCCCTGACGTTTTGGATTGCAAAAGAAAGGGGGGGGGCGAAAGATGCATCTCCCCCCCTCCCCAGGTGGGTCCAGCGAGCAAAAGAAAAGAAAACCGTTCTTGGGCACCGTGCAACGCGCGAGAGGCGCTCGGCGTGGGAAGGGGAAAGTTTGTAAGAACCCGGGCCGTAGAACTACAACACCCAGAATCCCCCAGCAAGGCAGCCCGGTGGGTGAGTGGCTGGGTGGGTGGTTTTTTAAACGGAAACTTTCCCGACCTCCGGGCCGGAGCGCTGAGCTTGTCTGTGCGGGAAGGGGGGGGAGTGTTGTGCCTGGGAAAAAGGAGGGCGCGCCGCGCGCCCCGAGCGC